CTATACATTTTTCAGCCATTTTTTTTTTTTTTTGGTTTTATTTGTGTATAAATCGTAGCAGTCACTGTTATACCTATCTCTTTAATTTTTCTGTGGAACTCTCATGTTGGTTTTACTGCCATCATAATTTTATCATTCATTTCCATCCATTATTTATTTACAATTTATTAATCTGACAAAGACAGTTTTAACTCTCAGTTTATTGTTATATCATATAAATAAACACGTGTTGTAAGCTCCCGTCAACCTGCATATATTGTTCTTAAATATTTTTTGAAATAGTTTGAAATCAAAACGAAAAAGTGTAGGTGATTAATAAATATACCGGTTTTATTATTGTGAAAGGTAAGTTAAATAATAAGCAAATGAATACAATATTATTATTATTCGAACATTGATATCTAGAAGGATTTATTACTATTAATAATTTAATTATTACCTCTTAATAATTACAGTCAGTAATGAATGAAGTTAGAATGAAGAAAAACTCGCAGATTCATAGTCGACAGACGTAGAGGAATTGACCAACAACGCGAACAAGTTTATAGAGCATTAACATCAGATTCATTTCTTCGACTAGCATTCCAGTACGAGCCTGATGTTGAATATTACGCTCATTTCAAATTGGTTATTGGTACTTTGGAAAAGGAATGCTCTCATTGTCATTCACTTAAATTTAAAAACGAGCCATTTGGGATATGTTGCTCATCAGGAAAAGTACAACTAACTGAAATTGAAACACCACCTGAACCATTGCACGGTTTACTTATCGGTACAGATCCAGATTCTAGCCGATTCTCATGTAATTCATGTTTCCAAACGACATCGTTTGATGCAAGAGAAATAGTCAATAATATTGCTGCAAACGGTCAACAATTTAATTCCACGTTAAAAATCAAAGGCCAAGTATATCATAAAATGGGCTCATTGCTACCAATGCCAAACGAATCTCATAAAATTTTACAAATCTCCTTCATGGGTGACTCCGAACGCGCACTCGCCAATCGCGTGGATGCACGTTGCGACTACCATAATATCAATTCAGCTTTTGCCAGGCGTATCGTCAGCGAGCTGGATGCTCTGTTAAATGAGCACAATGACCCAAGCAATTGTCATCAACCCTGATAGAACACCAGCTGCAGAGCATATACGTAGATTCAACGCACCTATTGTTGACGACGTTGCTGGAATCATGGTTCGCGACCGTACATCTACTTGACAAATTGTGATTCGAAGAAGAAATAATGACCTTCAGTCCATCAGCGATACCCATCGCTCATATGACGCTCTTCAATATCCACTAATTTTCTGGAAGGGACAAGACKGATGTTGCGTAAATATTAAACAACGAGATCCCATAACAGGTAATTCTTTTATTACTAAGAACATAATTATTTGGTTATTAAAGAATAAATCTTCAATTAATTTAAATATATATTATTACAGGAGCCAAAACAAATGAGAACGTTAGCTCAAAGGATTTTTATTCATATGATTTGATGATTAGATGCGGTCGAGACAACATCATTTTACGATGTCGTGTTTAAAAAAAAATTTAAGTCTTTAATCAACTTTATTACAAAATTGCATGTATTTGGCTCCACACGTTGTTGGATGTATTCAGTTGAGTGGCAAAGGCGTGGATTACCTCATGCTCACATTTTAATTTGGTTGGTCGACAAAATACGTGCTGAAAACATCGACAGTTTGATTTCTGCAGAGATTCCAGATCCGTCTACTGATCAATTACTGTTTGATATTGTTACTGCAAACATGATTCATGGTCCGTGCGGAAATCTGAATCGTTCATCACCTTGCATGGTAGACGGAAAATGTACAAAGGGTTTTCCTAAAGATTTTACTAACGATACGGTCACACATGTTGACGGATATCCAATACATCGTCGAAGAAGTACCGAAATTGGCGGACAATCTTTCATTAAAACTATCAGCAACGCACACAACGACATTAACAATCGTCGGGTGGTACCATATTCACCTCTACTGAGCAAAACATTCAATGCTCATATTAATGTTGAGTCATGCGGTTCGGTGAAGAGTATCAAATATATTTGCAAATATGTGAATAAAGGGAGTGATATGGCTGTATTTAGAATTGAAAATACTAATGTGCATTCTCCTCCGTTGAATCAAAATGATGAAATTACGAATTACCAAATTGACCGGTACGTCAGTTCCAATGAAGCTGTCTGGCGGATTTTCGATTTCCCAATTCATGAACGGGATCCAAAAGTTATCCATTTAGCTGTCCACCTTGAAAACGGCCAGCGCGTATATTTCATGAACGATACAGTGCTTGATCGTTCTATAAATTAACCAAAAACTACGCTGACCGAATTTTTTGAACTGTGCCATCGTGCGGATGATTTTGATGCCTTCGCACAAACACTTCTCTACTCTGAAGTTCCACGGTATTTTAAATGGGCTCAAAAAAGAAAATGGATACCCCGCAAGCAAAGGACACCAGTTGATGCGCATTCCGAAAATTTGCTGGTCCACATAACGGTTCTTTCTCGTTTTCATATTAAAAATTCAGCAAAGCCATCTGTGTCGAATACTTATTTTGCTTACTTATTTGCTTTTGAATATTAATACCGTTAACTTTCTGATTTAGTTTGTTTTCATAGTTACAATAAATTCCATAATAGAAGCTGAAATCATATTTGTACCAAATCATTCAAAAGTTTTTTGTTTTTATTGATAATATTTTTTGTATGCATTATTATTCGCAGAAGTCGTTACATGTCGAATACTTTTTTTGGCCGCTGTATTTAAATCAAATACTTTCTGTCGTGTATATACAGTCAATCCAARGCAGACTGAGTGCTTTTACCAGCCACTATTGTTGGTTAATGTCATCGAGCCATTGTCATTTCAAGGTATACGTAAGGTAGATGGACAACAGTTATCCTACGTATAAAGATGCATTCTGGGCTTGCTAGAAGACGACAATCACTGGGACAGTAGGCTTGCTGAAGCAACATTAAACTRCACAGGATCACAAATTCGTCTACTACTTGCTATAGTACTGACTACATGTTCCGGGGCCCGAGAACAAATGTTTTGGGATAATCACAAAAATTCAATGACTGATGATATATTGTATCGATATCGTACAAGGTGCAATGAKCTAACGATATCATTCAGTGATGCAATGTACAATGAAGCATTGATTGCTATCGATGATCTTTGCATTGCTATTGCGAATTTGCCAATCAGTCATTTCGGTATGAACTCACCGAATCGATACTGTAGAATTGGGCAGGCATTGTTAGTCGTAATGTTCCACTAATCCAGATGCAGTGCTGAAACAATGTAAAATTATTATTTGGGATGAATGCACTATGGCACACAAACATTCGCTCGAGGCATTAGAGTGAACTTTAAACGATATAAAAAACAATGATAAGCTATTTGGCGGCACTTTGTTACTCCTTGCTGGTGATTTTAGACAAACACTTCCCGTTATTCCACGTTCAACGTACGCTGATGAAATTAATGCTTGCTTAAAATCATCGCGACTATGGCGTAATGTTGAAAAAGTACAACTGACGGTGAACCTGCGCGTTCAAATGCTTCAGGATCCATCCGCCGAAAATTTCTCTAAACAAATGTTAGATATTGGTGATGAGAAAGTTGATGTACATGAAAATACTGGATGCAGTCAAATTACAGACGGACTCCTGCACAATCATCGACTCGCAAAATACTCTCATCGATCACATATTTCCCACGTACACACACAATATGCAAATCGTAAGTGGCTGGCAGAAAGAGATTTTGGCAGCTAAAAATGTGGGCGTCAATGGGTTAAATTTAAAGATTCAACAGTTGTTGCCTGGGGACTTGGTGTCATACAAATCTATCGATGCAGTTTGCGATATCAACGAGAATGGGAATTATCCAATTGAGTTTTTAAATTCATTGGATTTCCCAGGCATGCCACCACATCATTTACAATTGAAGGTTGGATATTCGATTATTCTGTTTCGCAATATAAGCCCACCACGGCTGTGTACTGGCACACGGTTAGTCATTAAAAAATTAATGAAAAACGTTATTGAAGCCATCATCTTGAATGGCAAGTTTCAAGGCGAAAATGTGTTGCTGCCACGAATCCCTATGATTACTACAGATGYTYCAAWTGAATTCAAACGCACTCAATTCGCCATTAGATTGGCATTGGCTATGACGATCAATAAATCACAAGGCCAGACATTGYCTGTATRTGGCTTAGATTTGGAAACACCATGCTTTTCCCACGGACAACTATATGTGGCATGTTCTCGCGTGGGAGACCCTCCAGATTGTTTGCGTTGGCTAAAGACGGACTAACCAAGAATATTGTACACTCTATTGCACTGAGAGATTAATTTTTTTTTTTAGTTGCCATAATTGATAGAATAATATGAATAATTATTTTTGATATTTAGAAAGCTATCAAAAATTGTAATTTCAAATATATTCGTTACTTTAATAAGGATTTATTAACTTAAATAAAGCATACTTTTATTGTTATAATGCTTTCGATTATAAATACATCCCCGCACACTTAGTAGTAGATAGTTATTTTTATTGAACTAAAAAAATGYTTCTTAGAAATAATATACATGACCAAACAACGTTTGCCGGGTCAGTTAGTATCTTTATATAAAAATCACGTTCATTTGTCTATTATGTGACAGTCACAATTATTTTGTTAGCTTCAAAAGATTCTAACAGATGGCGGTAAGTATTGCTTGGATTAAGTAAGTATTCAACAGATGGTGCTATGTTAAAAGTACTGTGGCAGCACTGTGTAAATGTCATGTAACATTTTCTAATTGAATTGAAATTTTGTAACACCTATAGCCCCGACAGAGGGCAGCGTTAAACCGGATTATCTGCATTTTTCGGGATTAATTAAGGAGTTACCACAGCTAACTCCGTTGCTGAATCCAAACATAACTCTAAAAATTTTAGGGAGTTTGTGGGATTTTCGTTGGGAACATTGTTAGTAATTGACAGCTGTATTCTATTGTGAATGAAAAATAAGAACAGTGGCAGCCATTTTACGTTTAAATGTAAATGAAGATATTTTGGAAAAGCGACGATTAAAGATAAAAAGTAAGTAATTTTAGTATTTTGCATTGCCTTCTAAACGAAAATTATTATCTTTGTTTTAATTTCAGATGGCTGGCAGAAAAAAGCGTTCAGGGTGGACTTTAGAAAATGAGTTGGAGCTGCTGGAAAAGTGGGAGGCACGTTCCCATGACCTCCGGCGTGCAAAGCGAAATGCTCATATATATAATGAGATTTCGCATGAAATGGCACAAAAATACACCGCCGATGAAATTCACTGCAAAGTGAAAAACTTGACAAAGAAATCCAGGTGAGTTTTTTCAATAATTACATTTCTTTTAATACATTAATAACTCTACTTTCAGAGAGGAGAAAACCAAAATTGGACCTTCTGGTGGTAATCCCTCGCCTTGGAAGCATTATAATGCTGTGCATCGCATAGTAGGGTACACTGCCGTTAATTCGGCTTTGTACATAGAGACATATTCCCAGGTAAAAAACTAATTTATTTTATTTATATAAATACATGCATTTATAAAGTTTATTTCTTTAGAATTCAACATTACCCCAATTGTTGCCGCCGTCCGACTCATCATTATCACCTCCGTTGCCATCACCATCGCCATCATGTCCGCTGTCACCTTCGTTGCCATCACCATCACCATCATGTCCGCTGCCACCTTCGTTGCCGTCACCTTCACCATCATGTCCGATGCCGTCACCATCACCTTCATCTGCAACAAGAAAACGTAATCTTAGCGCCGAATTGTTAAAGGTTTTAAATAATCAAACTGAGATATTGGAAAGGGTTGCGGATGAAACAAAGCACGTTTCAGAGGAAATAATTCAGTCTGTTCAACAGCACAGTAATTTATCCGAAAGATTTTTAACCCTTATGGAGAAAATTGCAGAGAAACTTTAAGTTTAAAATAATTTTATTGTTTTTTTCTAGTTTAAAATGTTTTGTTATTCAAAAAAAAAAAAAAAAAAAAAAACAATGAAATTAAATAATTTTATCGTTTCTTTCTAGTCTTCAAACATTATATAATGTAACAAAAAAAAATTAATTTAAATAAAAAATGATCTCTTTAAAAAATGGATGTTTGTAATTATGTGTACTAATATTTGTTTTCTGCTACTCCATACATCTATACTCACGAAAACTCAGAGCTATTGCATTTCTAATAGCCGATGCTGTTACATCATTTTCCCCAGCTCTTGTAGTGTGATGTGGTTGAATTTCTGTAATTATTTCTGCAGCATCTTGGATCAATGAAGAAGGAATTTCATCATTTTAAATTTTTAGAAAATTATGCAAAATACAGCATGCATGTATAATAACGTTAACGTTTTTTGTAGCAACCGGTAAACCTCTGCCAATTTTTCTAAATCGGGCTTTTAGTTGACCGAAAACATTCTCTATTACTCTACGACATTTGGATAAACGATAGTTAAATGTTTTTTCTAACACTGGTTGATTTGGTGAGTATGGAAAAGGCTTCATCATGTAACGCGACAATCGAAAGGCTGAATCGCCACTAAATAATACGGGGACGTTAACATCTCCAATCATTTTGACGCTCTGAGCAAAAATATTAGCGGTTTCATGAAATTTCTTTAAGGAACTACCTTCAAAAATATAAGAATCGTTATTTCTTCCAGTTGACCCAATATGTATATATGTAAATTTTGATCTATAAAATAGTAAAAGGATTTATATAAATATTTACAATAAGTACATATGTATATGAAATTTACCTATAGTCGCAACTTGCCAGCAGAATAACCGAATACCACCCCTTATAATTGTAATAATCGATTGCATCTTCCTTTTTCGGCTGAACCTCAATGTGGCAGCCGTCTATTGCTCCAAAACATTGCGGAAAACCAAGGTGTGCAAAACCTTGTACATTTCRCTCTACTTCTTCTGTGCTTGGGGGATAGGAATTGATGCAATCCGATAAATTTGTGCACACAGCTTTGCAAAAATCCACAACTATTTCCCCAACTGTGGTGCGTCCTACGCCAAATAAACTTGCTACAGTTCTGTATTCCGCTGAAGAACCTAACGCATACAACGCAA